CCCTGGGTTTGCTGAGGTCCCCAATGTGGCAATCAGAGTCCCCGGGATTGCTGAAGTCCCCAACGTGGTATTCGTAGTCCCTGGGGTTGCTGAGTTCCCTGATGTGGCATTCATAGTCCCCGGGACTGCTGAGGTCCCCGACGTGGCATTCATAGTCACCAAGATACCTGAGGTCCCCAGTATGGCATTCGTAGTCCCCGGGATTGCTGAGGTCCCCAACGTGGCATTTGTAGTCCCTGGGTTTGCTGAGGTCCCCAATGTGGCATTCAGAGTCCCCGGGATTGCTGAGGTCCCCAACGTGGTATTCGTAGTCCCTGGGGTTGCTGAGTTCCCTGATGTGGCATTCAGAGTCCCCGGGATTGCTGAGGTCCCCGACGTGGCATTCGTAGTCACCTGGATACCTAAGGTCCCCGACGTGGCATTCGTATTCCCCGGGATCGCTGAGGTCCCCGGCGTGGCATTCGTAGTCACCGGGATACCTAAGGTCCCCAACATGGCATTCGTATTCCCCGGGATTGCTGAGGTCCCCGGCGTGGCATTCGCAGCATCCGGGAATGTGAGCTCGCACTACGTGAACTGCCCGCTTTGTGTTTCGGTACGTTGCGGTCATAAAGCCCAACACCACTCAGAAGTGGATTCTTGTATTTTGTGACTGTGTGACCTTGTGTGAACGCTCTTGGGGCTGGAGGTATTGGCAGGCCAGCCCTGCCCGAGGAGGGCCACTTGGGTGAACAGGACGTATTTCTGTAGGGCAACCAACGAGGCACAGACAAGTGGGGATTAAGTTCCTCGGGTGCTCGAAGCAGGGAGAGCTTGGTTGTCTCCACTGGGAGAAATTGCAGGAACCGAGGGGACTCGGGGAAATCACTGGATTTAGTGGGAAGGGGTGAAGGGAGGGCATTGCAGAAAGGAAGCTCAGATGGGCGACCCGATGAGCGTCCTGCCCTGCGGCCTGAGCGGGCTGACAGCAGAGGGCCTGCGGATGAGCCGGGACCCCCGTGGCTGTGCGCCTGAGGGGTTGGCCGGGACTCAGCGCTTGCTTCCACCGCTGGCTGCGCGGGCGTCTGAAACGTGTGCGTGCCGTGGGGGCGGGGTGTGCCCAAGACCCTCGGGTCGGGATGCCGGGAGCCGCTGGCAGGTGCGTGGACCTGCAGGGAGTCTGGGCGCAGGAGGGGTCACGGAGGGTCTGGCAGGTCCGCACGCTGGAGTCACAGAGGTCGGGGGGGAACCGCTCGCGGAGGCCCGGTGGAAATAGTTTCCTCCTCTGGTTCGTGGTTTCCGTGACAGGCGCAGGGAGTGGTTTTGAGGGAGGGCGGACGGAATGCTTTTTTCCCCAAGAATTTTCAGAAAGTAGTGACGATCTTGTGTGGGATTTGAAGTTGGCTTTAAACACGTCTTCGCGTATTTGGAATTTTGTGGACCGTATCCATTGAATTTCGAGAGCGAGTTACCCGAGAGGACCCATCTTTTTACTGGGTCCCGATGGTAAGGCCCCTTCCCGTAGTCCCCATGAGCGCATCGCGTCAGGCCGCGGTTACAGAGACCTGATGTCCAGCCGCGGGCGGGCGGGCGGGCAGGGCACGGCACGGAGGGCTGGTGCTCAGGGCTCTGAGGCACAGATTCTCACCGCGGAGAAACCCTTCCCACGGGCACAGACACACGACGGCTGACCGCCAGCCCTTTGCAGCCCAGTGGCTTGGGTTCCGCAGCTGGGAGGGAGGGGCGGGAGGAGGCGGACCGTGGAAACGACACGCGGCAGCCCCGACGCGCACGGAGTGCTGGGTGGCCGTGTGCGTGACCCGCCCAGGACGCTCGCTAGGCACAGATGGCTCCGTGTGTTCGGCCGCCGTGTTACGTGAGAGGGGCACTGGGCACGTCTTCCCGGCTCTACGTGGGCAAAGCGGGGTCCTGAGCAGGAAGGGCTCCGTGCGTCCGTCAGCCGCGATCCCAACCAGCACGTCTCTGCCGCTCAGAACACTAACTGCGTCTCAGGAAGCTCTTTTGAAGGGAAGCCAGAGCGTAACGGGAACGGGCTGTTTGTTTACCTACGTCCTCTCCCAGCGACAAAGCCCAGGAGACGCAGGTTGAGGTGCCGCCCGTCCTGTGGGGCTGGTGGGCGCGGCTGCCACGTGCAAAGGACACAGCACAGTGAGGACAGCAGCTGAGGGCCCAGCTTGCCCAGTGACTGGCTGAGAGCTCCTCCGGCCCCTCCGGGGGGTGTGCGTCCCAGTAACCTCCTGCCGCCCTATTTTATTTAAAGTATTTTTTTTTTATCTCAGAAAGAGGAGAGCGTCAGTGGGCGGAGGGGCCGAGGGAGAGAGAGCTGAGCTCTGAGGCCGACACAGGCCTCGATCCCATGACCCTGAGACCGTGACCTGAGCCGGAAGCAAGAGTCGGTTGCCCCACCCGCTGCTGAGCCCCCCGGGAGCCCCCCAGTAACCCTGTGCCACTTTGATTCGCGTTTCGTAGAGGAAACGATGTGTCCTGAGATGAGCAACTGAATCGCACGGATGACGGCCTAGTTCTGCGTCACGTCCCGGAGCGTTTTCAGCGCACGCGGCTGAGAAAGGAGTCGCTCCTCACCCCTGGAGGACTTCAGTCGGAGCCGTGCCAACGCGCTCGCTGACGGCCCGCCTCTGCCTGCCGCAGACGCCGCTGAGTAAAGTGTTGGCTGTGAAACGTACAGCCACATGTCAGATGTTTGATGCTTTAAAAACGTTCTTAAAACACCAAGAGCGCTTCCTGCGAAACATGGTTTGTGCCACAGTCTTCCTTCCTTCCCCAAAAGTCTTTTCCCCCCAGAAATGGTAATTAACTTCAGAAAAACGTTCATGCATAAAATGCCCTCAGTAGAGTCCTAGTTTGTTTCTTAAAAAGCTAGTAGGGAGCGGATAAGAGTCCTGTGAGGTTTGGGGCGCCCAGGCGGCTCAGCGGGTCAAACTTCGGACTCTTGGTTTCAGCTCAGGTCGTGATCCCGCGGTTCACGAGTTGGAGCCCCGCATGAGGCTTCACGCGGACAGGGTGGAGCCTCCTTGGGATTCTCTCTCCTCCTCTCTCTGCTCCTCTGCCACTCGCTGTCTGTGTCTCTCTCAAAATAAATAAACTTAAAAAAAAAAGAGCCCTGCGAGGCTCCGGTGGCAGAGAGGCGGGCAGGTCTTGGGACTGTGCACGCGGAGCCCAGGACACTTCCCTCCGTGGCCCCACGGGCAGGTCCAGCCTGGGACCTGGCTGTACCCGGGAGCGGGTCCTCCCGGGGAGCAGGCCCGGCAGGCGTCACTCCCCTCCACGGTGCCGCCCGAGGACCACGGGACTCAGAGAAGTGTGGACGCGCCGGGTGTCCCGTCCCCACAGGGACCTTCACTTGTCTGCAGCCCCGAAGGATGTGCTCGCCCCTCAAGGAGAAGGTGATGCAGACTGAACGGCGGTCGAAAGCAGTGGCCCCCAGCGCTGGGGCCCTTCGCGGTCACGTCTGCGTTGTGTTGCTGATGCCGTCCCCCCGGTGAAGCCCCTCCTGATCTGAGACCTGGGGGAGCGGTTCGGCAGCGTCTGGGCTCGTGGCCGGGCCCTCAGTCTTTATGAACGAAGGGTCCTGTGTGTCCAGCCGGCTCTCGTGGTGCCTGCTGCACCCCACCCATCGCTCCCACCCTCCCCAAACTGCCCCTTTGCTTTCCCCACACCCCTGCACTGCAGGGCTCGCCCCGGCTGACCCACGCTCCCTGGTCACCCTGCGGGCCTCTCCTGGGCTGTCACTGAGGCCCTCCTTCCCACAGGCTGGTGGCTCCTGGAGCTGCCCTAACGGACACCAGTGAGCAGCTCAGAACCACAGGAGTGAATCCCCCAGCTCTGGAGACCAGAAGGCCGAGACCCAGGCGGGGCAGGACCACACCCCCTCCGGAGGCTCCTTCCTGCCTCTTCCAGCTTCTGGGGCTCCAGGCGCCCCTGGGCTCATGGCCGCGCCCCTCCCGTCTCTGCCTCGGGCGTCACGGGGCTTCTCCTCTGCGTGTGTGTCCCTCTTCTGTCTCTTACAAGGACACCTGCCGTTGGACTCAGGGTCCCCCTCATCCAGGATGAGCCCACCTCAGATCCTTCACTTGATCTCCTCTGCAAAGACCCTATCGCCAAGTAAGGCGCCCTTCTGAGGTTCTGGGTGCGGGGTCCCTGCCCCCTCCCACTCCCGTCTCTCACCCCACCCGAGGACATCTGACCGGACGTGCTTGGCAGGTTTATTTTCTTAGCCTGTCTTCCCCAGCTGACTATAAGCTCCAGCAGGCACTGGTTTCATCCTTCTGCTCCCTGCCCCTTCCCCGGGGCCTGGACACAGAGCACGGTGCCCACAGGTGGCTGTGGAGCGCAGGCGCGTGAAGACGGTCACGCCAGATTGCCCGGCTGGAGCCCGTGGCACCCGTGCGAATATAGGAGTAGAGACGGCGGAGAGAGAAAGGGAGATTAATTCGCAAGTGAGCCTTGTTGCAGTGGCTTCCGGGGCACGACGGTCAAGGTACAGAGCCCTCTCTCCTCCAGGTTCCCACGAGTCGGGGCCACGAGCACCCACCCACCCGTGGCTACTCTGGAGAACCTCGCGTCCTGCGCCTGCTTTGGTGGAGCACGGGCCGTGGGACGTGCTGGTCCTTGGCGTGTGTGGGCGCTCGCCTCTCTTCATTGCGCAGCAGGCCTCCCGTGCGTGCGTCCGCCACGGGCTGTTCGTCATGCCGTATCGACGGGTCCCGCGGTCGCGTCCGCCCTTTGCTGTGAGTCACGCTGCCGGGAATGTTCGCGTCTGGGTCTTTGTGGACACGCGTTTTCACTTCTCGTGGACCGGGCCTGCGGACTCGTGTGGGAAGCGCGTGTCACCTCCACGACAGAGCCAAAAGCGCTTCTGCAAGCCGTCCGGTCCCTGCGCGTGCGGGTTCTCGCCGCGGGTCCGGTGCGCGTGCACGTCCTCGTGTCCGCCAGCGTGTGTGCAGGTTCTCGCCCTTCTGCGTCCCCGCCGGCACCGCGAGTCCTGAGACGTTTTGTTTCAGCCGCTGGGGCCAATGTGTTGTGCCTCGCGGTTTCGTTTGCGCTCTTACCTCTGCTTTCCGGTGAAGGTGAGGGAGTTTTCAGCGGCTCTTGCGCCGACATGAAGCCTCTTTTCCAGTCTTTTCCCTGCTTTCAAGAGCTCTTGCTATATAACCTGGATGCGAGTCCTTTGTAAGATCCATGTTTTCCAGGAAATAAGGTGCAGGGGCTCTGTGAGGACAGGGGTGCAGGGGCTCCATGAGGAGGGGGGTGCAGGGTGTCCAT